CCTCCCCTCCCCTCGCATGTTGGATATCAGGTATGAGAGTCAGCTAACCCTGTCCCGAGGCCTAACAGCAACTATAAGTCGCCTTGCCCATTACCATGTGAGATGTGGCTTTTATGCCGGGCTTTAACTAGGACCAGTTCTTCGGGAGCTGTTTGTGAGACTTGAACAAGTATAATCAAATCTGTGTAGATACATTTTGGGATGTATATAGATGATTTTGATACCTAAAAAAATATCAAATCAATGTATTTTCACAATAAATGCATTTTTGTAAAGCGACAATACATAACAACACACAAACAAACACAGAAGACATAAATTAATGTTTCCAGGAGAGTTAAGAAACAATAGAAGAAGAAAATAGGCTTAGCACTAGTTCTGCTCGCGGGTGAACCTTTTAGCATATGCAATAACGACTTTTCCCTGCTTAAGGAATTGTTCTTACTGGTGTGATTGTGTAATGGCTGGAAGTGTTCCTTTCTTTTAGAGATCAGAGGAGGAAATATGTATGCCTACAGATGATATCTTTGCACTCGTCTGTGCTCCTACATCAATGATTCTTGTTTTGAGAAGAATTCTGCGTGAAGTCAAGAACGGAGTCCAGAGCTAGCCTAAGAATAATCAAGCTCCATCTCGACGTACTGAATTACTGCACCAATCAACCGCATCAATCAATCAAAAGAGTCTTGTGTCCCACGTCAATCCCGACTCCACATAAATGTCATGGATGTTGGTATAATTTTATTGCATTTGCCCTTGCCGTTAGTAATTGTTTGCTGTAAGCACGTGGTTCGCGATCTTTTTTTATATGGATATGTGTGTCCTGAGTTAATTGTAACCTCGTCTCTATTATTTATTAAAACCACTTAATTAGTATTTTTCATCTTAAAAATAATTAGATAGTTTTTTATTAGTATTTATTGTATTTAATTTTATAGTGTTTTCTTCTAAAAATGTGTTTTTTCCTTATCATTTTGTTTTCATTTATCTACCTTTTGTTTTTTTTTCTATTTATTAAAATAAAAAATCAAAATAAATTAGAAAAAAACTTCAAATAAATGAAAAAAAAGTTACAAAAGAATTTAAAACCATGAAAATATAGTGTCTGTTTGTTTCTGCATTTCAATAATATTTTAAAAAAAATTTAAATTTTATTATTATTTTATTTATTTTAAATTAATATATTTTTAATGTTTTTAAATTATTTTAATATATTGATATTAAAAATAATTTTTTAAAAATATTATTAATATATATTTTAACACAAAAAATTATTTAAAAAACCAATCAAAAACTGTGAAACTCTAAATATAATGTTTTTATTTGCAATATATATATATATATAGGATTGAAAGAACTACTCTTACTTTTCTTTGTCAGATACAGCAAGGGACGAAGTAGCTAGTGCGTGCGCTTACAAGGCATCTCCGATAGCTTCAAGGGCCTAGAAAAACATTGTCAGTGACCAGCTCCTCTACTTGTTTTTTACATTTTAGCTAGCCTCAATCATCCGGTATTTCTAATGCCACTAGACTTGAGAAAGTGCTTATTAACATCTCTATTGCAGCTAACAGCGAAAGTGCTTATTAACATCGGACACCTTGTCATTTGTATAAGCAAATATATACACAATAAACTGTACCAGCCATAAAATCTAAATTGTCTTGGCTTTCTTTTTACTGGATAGCAAAGATATGTTTTGAGCAGCTTGTATGTTAATTAATCTTTAAATGACAAGGCCACCTTCATGATTTTTTTATATATTTTAAAAACCAAACACAGTAACTCTATACATGATGTTGATCGAATTTAAAGTTAAACAAGGCAAAGAAATTATCTCAATGAGACTAAATTGAAGCTTGATTAAGCTGGTTTACATGGTTTAAAACGTGTCAATTGTGAGATTATAATTATTTTTTATAATATCATGACAGTGACAGTTTCCAATATTATTTTTAAAAAAACAGAAGTAATAAAGAGCAGGGGTTGCAGTACAAGTGACCGCAGTTAGCTATGCTGCTAGAGCCCTAGCTATAAAGAAAACTGAAGTCAGCAGAAAAAAGGTTGCCGTGTGGAGAGGGTGGTTCTTAGACTGAGTTTTACATGAATTACCCAGACACGGTATGGACCTGAGAGACTTATTGTGCCACTTATAGATATTAAAGTAAAAGGAGTTAGACTGTCATAATAACAAGGCTTCATAGTCAGTGATCAGTAGTAACACAATTGCTGATACACAGAAACGATCAGGACCCACAAAAGGCCTTTCAGAAAGGGATGACTTTCTTTGAACAAAGTTCATACTTCATATGGTAAATGAATCTGGTTTCCCCACTCTTTTCCTCGATCTGCAAGATGTCAACTGCACATAGCAAATGGATGGTATGGATGAACTGTTGAAGAGAGTGAAATAGGAGTCCCCATTTCTCTCGCATTCGTAAAACTCTTTGAAAGACAGGGAGGGCTGAGAACGACCCACTAGTTTATCTCCTCCCTGTGTTAAAGGTCCTGACTTCGATAGTACTCCTGGGACTACCAAGTAAAAATATGGTCAGAACGGCACTGAAGGGGGGGAAAAGGCAAGGCCCTTAGCCTTAGGGGCATGCCAGTTAATTTTTTTTATTAACATAAATATTCGAATTAATTTATACATATTTTAATTAATTTTATAAACTCTAAAATTAATAACCATATAAATTTTTATCATATTAGCAACCGCAATTTAAAATCATAAAAAAAAAACCGCTTGATTCTAACCATCTATATTAACTTTTATATATTTTAATTGATTTTTTATCATATTAGCAACCACAATTTAAAATCATAAAAAAAAACCGCTTGATTCTAACCATCTACAGTATGGCTAGAACCCAGGCAATATTCATCTTGTTGATGGGAGAAATTAGCTGTGCATGCCACGGGGGGTGAGTCACAGGTGAAAAGGAGAGTGAGAGATAGAAAGGACAAGGGTGTTGATTTTCTAAGAGATTTTCTTGCATTGATTAGGGAATAGACACTGCTTTACTCACGTAGAGGAATTGTCTGTCCTGATCATCAACTTATTTAGTAGCAATAGTTTCTTGTTCCTCCCAGAACAAGTGATTGTACTGTCCACGTGCGTAGACCCCTTGTTTGCTGTTACTTGCATAACATAGCAGACCCAACGCTTCCTGCTCCGTTTGCAACTTCTTCCTTTTTTAATCAAATATATATATATATAATAGCATAATAATAATAATTCTATTTAAAAAATATTTAGTAAAATAGAATATTTTTACCTTATTATACTTCTAAAACACAACGGGATAAAAAATTTACTCATCTTCGATCAGTCGGCCAATTAGATTCAGTTGTATTAATTAATTGATTATTTTATATTAAAATTTTAATTTTATAAACTGTTTTTTCAAATGTGTTTTGTAAGTCACAATATGTTTTTTTAACAAGTATATTAAAATATACTATAATTAAAATCTCAAAAAATTATTAATCATAAGGTAATTATAAAGTGTTTTTCAATATGAATGATGTAGTCAAGCTTCTAATAATAGATAATTCTAAACAAGCAAATATAAATCTCCTATAACTAAATAAAAATATATCCCAAATAAATTACATTAATGGCCTAACATATACATTCATGTACTAATATAACAGGTTTAGGTTCCAGAGAGATCTAGTTGCTTCAAACCAAAAAAACATATCTAAAAACAATTACTTTTAATCTAATTATTGAACCGTGATAAAAAAATTATAAGAACTTTCAAAAGTTATTTTCTCTATACTAGCCATTGCATCACTATATGAACCGTCAAATCTTTAAATATAAAAAATCTCATCAAAACCTTATGGTTTTGATGGTTTAAAGATTTTTCTTGTTATTTTTAGAATTAATTGACATATTTCACTAACTATTATAAACTAGTATATTAGCTCTATTATAAACTAGTATATTAGCTGAGTCAAACAATTAAAATTTTATATTTTTACATTGTTGTGATTTTAAAATAAAAAAAAAGGTAAAAGCATGCTATTTAATGAAAAAAAATCAAACGATTTTTTTCCGTGAATTTTTACGTTTATTGTGTTATTTACCGCGCTAATGGACTAATTTGTCCCCTTCAGCACACCTGTATATCATATCCTGTATTATATAAATAAAGAAAACTAATATTAATCAATAGAATGTATATTTAGAGAAATAATTTTATTATATGCTTGTCTTTTTAAAGAGAAAGGTAAAAAGTCTTGGCCACGTGATTTATTTCTGAGGTTGTCCTAGCTCTAATTAAGAAAGAGCTTTGACCAGCTTAATTTCATGCTGCTACGTACCAAAATTCTGACTCCCTCGGTGCAACTGAGAAAATTAAATATTTACAATCAATCCAGAAAACTGGCTTCTGGTAGATCCATTAAGACGACCCATTGATATTAATTAGGGTCGTGAAGTCTAAACATCAAATGGTACGGACCTGTTTCCCTGACTTGAGGCCATGGTCTTGTCTTTTTTAGCCCTTTTTTTTTAGTGATGATATTAAGAACTTTTTAAATGAAAAAATATCCATAAAGCCCCGCAAAGTTACACAGCGTCGTTATCTCTTATTCCGTGTGCATGGTATGAATCGTTTACCTCTCTTTACAATTATCTTAGCCTAAAAAATAAATGGTTAAAGCCTAGCTAGTGATTTTATGAACACATCTAAAATCCTAAACATCAAAATGCATGACCCCGCATTTCACGTATTTGGTAAGAAAACACCAGTCTTGAGGCAGACACAGACAGATGCGGGAAACTCTTAAACACGATGCCTCATGTGAATTCACGGACATTAATGAGGCAAGCAAGGAAGTCCTTCCCCTAGAAAAAGACTCCCGACAATTTTCAAACTGTATCCATATCAACACATGAATATGGCCCGTGGCCCAAGTCGGGGTGCTACCTCACCAAGGCATAACCTCAAGTTTGGAAGCTCGGAAAGAAAACAACATGGGGAGTTGGATTAAACGAAGGTGGAAAACCTTTGTAGTTTGTACTGGAACAAAATTCAATTATTTAATTAGTTTATGCAATGAAATGAGATATGTATAGTTCTCTGTATGTCCAAACACATTGGACCATTTTTCACTGCCAAACATCCTGAAGGAATTCCAGCCCCTTGTCTAATAACTTGTTATCACATGATGAAATATATCAGAACCTACAGATGGAATTGCAAGCAGCAGCTTTCTGCCACATTGCATCCAAAGCAGTCAGTTGCTTAAACACCCTTCGCGGTGCTTAATTGCAACAGTTTGGTAAATTCACAAAGCTTCCTCCGTATGTCTATCCTTTCCACCTCTATTGGCTAGCCCATGTTGGGATATAGCTTATAGGTAACCTCTTTCATCTTGGCTAACATGCATCCACTGGAACTGTATTCATAGACAGGGTATTTGCTTACTTTAAGATAACTGTGCAGCTTTATCAGTCACCTGTAGTGCGATCGATGTCCCCATGCTGTCATGCATAAGCTCCTCCCTCAACCATCTAATTACCGAGGATGGATATCAAGATTTTGAGCCTGTATTCAAACTGAATAGAACTTCAGCAATGCTCCCAGTATTTAGGTCCCACAACATATTAACACTTGATCAGGAAGGAAGAGGAGGCCTGCCAAGCACAGAATGCGTTATTCTCCTTTATTTTCATCTTTGCACCTGCTCAAACATAATTGAGTAAGACTTGACAATACAAGATTCTCTTTGGATAAAAGAGAACAAGTTTTCAAGGATACCAAGAGATACGAAAACAAATTTTCGTGGATGCCAAGATGTGGGTCAATGTTACATAATAAGACGATCGACATAGAGTTCATGTATAGTGATTGCCCAGAGAGAAATAGAAGAATAACAAGGACAGAATTTCTACAGAAAACCATGTGACTTTAAACTGCTGCAATGCAGAGGCCCCACCAACAAGGCACAGTGTCCAAGATATGCCATTCTTGGCATCCATTGAACAGCCTGTAAAGCAATTTCAAAACACCAGATGATTATGACGGCAATCAGTTAATCTTTCTGAACCTTAATTTCTTACCAACAACATGAAATGGTGCAGTAGGTCAAAACAAAGGATCGTTAGTCAAAGAAATTCAGTGTCAAATACTTATTCATGTCAAATAGCAATAATGTTTGAACCAAATGCAGCAGCGCCATAATTCCCAGTTTTCTATTCGTGATCTCTTACAGAAGGCTCAGAAATTGAATAAAGAGACTAAATGGTCAGCAATAGAGATCAAGACCATAAAAGCCAGAATTATGTAAATCCAAGAGCAATAGGAAACAGAATAGGACACTGGACGTGGTTTAATACCTTCAAAGTCTTCACCAAAGCAACATAAGTTGGATAGCTGATTGTCTACAATGAAGATGAATGGAAATTAGCAATGCAGGGATACTTGCAAAGTTCATGCAGACTCCAGTAAGATAAGTAATTAGATTTAACAACACAATCATGCACCATGAACATAACCTTTAATCAATCTTTGGTAACACTTAATCTGTGTTTAGTGCTACCTGGTCAGCAAGAACCCTAAAATGAGATATTTATAACGCAGGAAAAAACCACTGTTCAGGACAAATGAAAGATCCAAAATGCAGGAATAGCAGACCATTTATGCTTCAAGTCTCTTTGAGAAATCAAGCTTGACCAGAGATAACTAAAATCCACACCAAATACTTCAATGATGTGCACATGTCATATCGCTCGTAATGATGAAAGAATTTATGGAGCTGGATTGATACACACTGAACTAGTTTAATATTTATATGAACACTTCACCGAATCAGACAATTAGAGTGTATCAGCAACTGCGGGTAGTGCCATTAACAGAAGAGATAAATAAGGATAGGGGTTGACTACAAAAATGCCCCTTGCCTACTAGTTCATTCTCAATTTTACCACGTCCAATTCAGGGAATCAATTTTGCCCTTAATGTTAACAAATATCTCCAATATGACCCTTCTGTCCGATCTCTGTTAAAAATAGTTAACAGAAACATCAAATTATTAGCATGCCATGGACATGTTTCATTAGAGGGGAAAAAAACTGCCAAAAACACCCAAAATACACATTCATCCATAGCAGCTTAACACCAAAGGCGATTTTGGGTATTCTGGCAGGTTTTGTTCCTTCCAATTTCTTGAGTTAATGCGAGATGTGAGTAATTTGACTATTTGTTAACTGTTTTTAATAGATAGTAGATGAAAAGGTAACATTGAACCCTCTACTTTTGCTTTGTGAGTCAAGTGTGGATCTGCTGATTAGAGAGATAAAGAGAGATCACATTAAGGTCTCTCTAATAAACCAAATCTTTCAACAAAAAATCAAGCAGAACAAATTATAAGACTTTCACATGCATCTGTGATATGAATGGGAAATCACTAATCAGTCGAGCTGATAAAATCTTTCAATCCAAAGCTGCATTCTTAGAACTACTACCAAATAACTTTTAACAGAAATTAATAATTTAAGTAGAAGCAAAGCAGGCAGCCGAGGACATCACGGAAACAAAAAGTGAAAAGAAAAACTTTGGGAATTCAAAAGATACTCTGTGCTCCAACTTCCATTTCATCCCTCAGAAAAGGGAAGGGAGAAAGAAAGAACAAATGACTGTATGCTTTATTAAGTGATATAAAACTCAATTTTGATGTTAGAGGGAAGCTCAGCTGGCCCTAGGTAGAGAATTCAAGTTTAAGCAGCTAAACCTTGAAGAAAAACTCATTTAACCTAATGGAGCTTGCATGAAAAAGGAACAACTGTGAAGAGAACCATAGAGCTTATTGAATTTTTATAAGGGGCATGCAATCCCAAACAGACGAAATGCAAGCCATTGCCTTCTATCACAAGACATGTAGATTGATAGTGCATGCATGCAATTTGATAAGCAACATTGTTGTAGTAGTAGAAGGTTTAGTCTCCATGAGGTTAGACATGGATGTTGGGTTGTGATTGGTTATGATGGTTATGCAATCAGGGTGAAATCGTAGTGAGGATAATGAACACATTCGAGGACATTGATCTGTTGGGGGAGGTAGATGAGGAGTGTAGGGTGCATCCGGGATTGAGTTGTTGCTTCAGTTAAGGAATAGTTGAGGGGACATCAGGGAGCAGCAGAAATTAGTCATGACTCGTGAGTTAAAAATACAGAACAAAAGTTCAAAAGGGCATCATTGTAAGCACGGAGACTCTCAAATTTAAGTTTGTCATGTTACCATAGAAGTTCTGAGCATGTTGAAAGGCACAACTGAACTATAAGTTCGGAGCTTCTGGAGTTTGATATCTAGCAAAACTTAAAAAAATTATGATCGAGTTTCTGCAGGTTGTGCTCTTTCATGGAGTTCATTTGTTGGCCTTTTCTCTTAGCAATATGAAAGGGCATTCTTGTATTGCTAAGAGAGGATTTGGAAAGACTTGAATTCTGAAGATGTTATAATGGTAAAGCTAGAGTACATCTGCAGAACTTAGTTTTTGCATTCTGGTATTTGCAGAACCGTCTCTGTTCTCCAGCAAGTGGAACATGCTTTAATACGTGTGTTGGAGTTTCTCGAATTTCTAAAAGTTCTAGTGTATAGCAGACAATGTGATAGCATTCCTAAAAGAAAAAAAATGGATAGAAACACAACATTTCTAGATAGGAGACAGTCAGAAAACTACAACTACCTAGGAAAACTGATGGCTGTGGTATAAGCTATGGCCAGCAGGCCACGTATGAATAGCAGGACAATGGTACACTTGTATTTCTTGAATGTTACGACAAAATTGCAGGACTTTCTTACAGACTTGCCTATTCCTCACGTTGTTGTAGGCTTAAAACCATGGCTTGAAATCCTCCCAACACTAGCAAATTCAGTTGTTTTTTAAACTTTTCCTTTCAGAAACAGAAATTGAGAAATAAAATTAATCCTTGGAGTCTCCCAATCTGAGAGATTTAGGGTTCATATCACTGAGATTTATGATGTATAGGATATCAAGTGCCTTTAGAAGGTCCACAAAAGGGCACAAGTAGTGGAAAAAGATTTACACAGTAAAACATCACAAAGTGCTTGGTTTTTTTTAAAGCTTGACTATGTCGCAACACACCAAACCAATGTTAACTACAGGCTTAATTATCGACATCTTGGCTCCTTAATCTGTATGAACGACACTCACACTTGAACCAGAAAGACAATTTTCACATCCCAGCAAAGTTTATCGTGCATAGCTAAGCATAACTTCCTGCTGCACACGTTGTATATTTTCGTTTTTTTGAATGTTTCTCTTTTAATCTTCAAGTATAACCTATATAATAACTACGCTACAAAATGCATCAAACCTTGTAAACATAAGTCAATTTTCTATGTCCTAAACACAAATTAGGATACGTAATCAACATAAAATCTCAATCAAATCTATAGCAACTTAAAAATTCAGCCTTATCCAACACAAACTCAAAACATGCCCACATGTAAAACTATCACGATACATCACAAATCCCACATAATACTCGATCAAAATACACAGGCAAGCAAGCAATGAATCAACTTACTGATTATATCCGATCAAGTTAACTCTCCTCAACCATTCTCAGCCGCATTTCAAACAATCTAGCGTTGAATTCCCCGTCATTAACCTTTAACATTCTCGACAATGGCATCTTCAACCCATACTCCACCAACATTCCATGCCTAGGCTTAATCTTCCTCTCCAAACTAAACGAGAAAAATTGCGGAAACTTCTTCAATTCCCCTAAATCCCCCTTCATTTCTCTCACAAAGTATTCAAATTTAGGCTTCATGTTCCTCTCCACACTGAGAGTCAAAATCCCAGGAGCCCTCACAACCATATTTTTAACCTCGACAAACTCAAACCCCAACCCCATCAAAAACTCAATCTTACCCATCAAACTTCTCTCCACGTTATAAACAAGCAACAAAGTAGTTTGATAGTTTAACTTACGTGGACCCACAAAGCCCAACTCTTTTAGAAAAACAAAAGCAGGCCTTAATTGATTAGACACGCTGGAAACTAACAATCTGGGACAGCGATTGATTGACCTGGAGATATCAGGAAATGGGATTTCGACTTCATTTAAGAGGAAATCGAAGGTGGGGTGGAGGTGGAGGTGGGGGTCAGAGGTGAGGAGGCAAGGGTGCATGTCAAGGATGCGGCCAATGGAGGAACGGTGGAAGCCCATGGAGGAGAGGCAGTTTTCAATCGAGAGGAGAGTAGAGAGAGGAGTGGAACGGATGTTTGGGTTTAGAGTGAGAGCTTTTTGAGTGTTTATTTTAAGGTTTGTGAGGTAAGTTAGTTTTTGTCGGAAGAGAAGACCACTGTCTTTTGATGTTGTCGTTGTTATTGTCGTCTTTGCTAGGCAAAGATTTGGGACGGTTGCGTTGTTTTTGAGGAGGGAAGAGAGATGGTATGGTGACTGGCTGCATGTTAGCATTATGAGAGTGTCATTTGAGGAAGGATGGAGACTGCGGTTTGCTGGTGAGAGGAGGGGGGGAGGTGGGGGAGGAGGAGGAGCCGAGGGTAGGAGGGCCATCATGATGACACTATCCATTCATTTGTTCATGGGGTAGGATTTGATTTCACTTTATTTTATTATTATAATTGGGCTTTTGTAGATGTTGGATCCTTTTTGTTGACCTTGAAATTGGATTGTGGGTTGGCCCATTGCCCACGGATTTAAATTTGAAAGGAAAAAAAAACAACAAAATAAAAGAGGTTATTTATACTATCGTTAATTCGTTATGTTACTGTACCGCATTGTGTTACGGTAAATTTTTCTAGTGGATTAAAAATAATTTTGACACAATGATATGTTAATTTATCATATGTATTACTTAATTTTGAGATGTGGCTACCCTTTTAAAAAGAAAATTATAATAAATTAACCCCACATGAAATGAAACATGTAACGGAAATTGATTAGATATATTAAAATATTATATATTAGATTAAATTTTATTTTATGATTTCACTTGTAAAACTTGTAATCTAACTTGTAAATTTTATTGGATGAAGTAAATTTATTTTTTTTTAAGTTATTCTTTACATAACATGTTATAATAATAATAATTATTTAAAAAAATAAAAAAAATACATGACAACAAAAATAAAAGAATTCTTTATCTTTAAAAAAAGTTAAATAATATAATTTAATAAGAAAAAAAATCATATATGTGAATATGTTCTAAGCGGCTTAGTACACTTAGGTCTTGAAACAAAACCTAGGTGTTAAAAAAGTTAAATAATATAATTTAGTAAGAAAAAAAATCACATATGCGAGTATGTTCTAAGCGGCTTAGTGCACTTAGGTCTTGAAACAAAACCTAGGTGAGTTGGCATTTATACCAAAATCTCATGTTTAAGCTTTTTATTTGTGGTATAAGATGGATGACCAATTGTTTATTTTTTTTAAAAAAATAAATAATAAGTTATTTATTATTACTTAGCTTGCGGTTACTATTGATGGCCAAAAAATTATAAATTGATTTATTAGACTAAAAATCTATTTTTTCATAACATAAAAAATCAATTTATCAAGTTATAAAAAATCCAAAAAATAATTTAAGAATACAAGACCAAACCAGATAAATTTTTTATTTTTTATTTTAAATATTTTTTTTATAAAATATCAATATTCAAAATAATCATCTTTAAACATTTTGTCTCAAATAAAACTTTTTAACATCAAGATAAATCTTTTTAATTTCTATAATCAATGTTAACGGATGGCTTTATCTCTTCTCGTGTAATTCAATTACTTTTTTTTTTATTTCTAAAATCTAGGGCCACAACACAAGGAAAATGAATTTTTAGTTAAAATTAATTTTTAAATATTTTATGGACTTTTAAGGTTGAAAATAGAAAGTACGAATAACAATGAAATTTGAACCAGTCATGAAATTCCTCCATGTTTTATAATTCGGTCCCTTGTATTTTAATGTGCCCTGAATTTTAACAAGTTATACCTTCATGTGGGCAAAGAATAATGAAATCAGAAAAAAAAAAAAACAAGGAAAAAAAAAAGTGCGGGGCGTTTCAGCACATGTTACAACATTTCCTTCTTCCAGTGTTGTCCACAGCAATCAGCTAAAAAAATAGATTATTTTTTATGATTAATAGCCATGGCAGCCTAGATCGCAGGTTCACATTGATTTGACTGGGTATGGCTTTATTTTTTTTGAAGTTGCAGGGATATCCAAATTTCAGGTCCAAAAAACAATTAAATGAATTAAGTAGTGAATTATCCCTGGCTTCAGTGTTTTTATAATATAATTCGAAGAATCAAGTTGATGGTTTACACGATATATATTTTTTAATTACTAAAATTACCAATCCACGTGTGTAAGGTTGCCACAAGTAAAACTTATATGAATCTTTTAGTTTTGATATAAAAGATCTGACTATAGAAAAATTGAAAAAATAAATTTATTTTTCATACGAAAATACGAGTACGTGGATACAAGAACTAGAGTTTTATAAAGTTTCATCGACACGAATGTGCTGCGGCGGGGTTTGATAAACCTCCAAGTGTTATGGCGGGGGTTTTGACTTTGACTTTGAGAGGCTTGAAACTGAAGAGAGCTGGAGTTCTGTTGTAGCCAGGAGTAGCAAAATCTTCAAATAAAATGGCGCCATCTGGCAATATAAGATCAATTCTTGTCTTGCTCCGCCTGTTACAGTGACTGCTGCCTTGTCTGGGCCACATGAATATTACACCTGGCATTATTGACACGGGGAGGTACTGAGACATGTGTAGAATGAGAAGTAGAGGAGTTTTTGGCTCTGATGTTACGTGGGCTTTTGTTATGTTATGTTTTGTTTTGTTGGCTTGAAGCTCTCGGGGGGAACCTACTGATGATCCCGGTTCTCAAGCTTCTTCTGGTGACCGATTTTGGCGCTCACCCGATCATGTCATGCAATCCTATATGCAAGCTAGTTCAGAACCCTTTCTCCCTCTTTCTCTTCGTCCTCTCCCTCTCCTTTCTCTCTCTACATTTCTTGGTTCCCACATTTAAAATTCCTTTCCATCATCCATTTTTTTCTCCTCGTTTGATTTGCTACTTTAGGTAACTTTTTCTTTCTTTTTCTCAAACCCATTCTTTTCTTGTTTTTATCCCCTACCACTACTCTTTTTTCTTCATCGGAGAGAGAGGAGGGGGGGGGGGGGAGATACATAGATTC